CATGTGTAGGAGAGGGAGGAGGAGGAGGAGGAGGAGGAGGAGGAGGAGGAGGAGGAGGAGGAGGAGGAGGAGGAGGAGGAGGAGGAGGAGGAGGAGGAGGAGGAGGAGGAGGAGGAGGAGGAGGAGGAGGAGGAGGAGGAGGAGGAGGAGGAGGAGGAGGAGGAGGAGGAGGAGGAGGAGAGGAGGAGGAGGAGGGAGGAGGAGGAGGAGGAGGAGGAGGAGGAGGAGGAGGAGGAGGAGGAGGAGGAGGAGGAGGAGGAAGGAGGAGGAGGAGGAGGAGGAGGAGGAGGAGGAGGAGGAGGAGGAGGAGGAGGAGGAGGAGGAGGAGGGAGGAGGAGGAGGAGGAGGAGGAGGAGGAGGAGGGAGGAGGAGGAGGAGGAGGAGGAGGAGGAGGAGGAGGAGGAGGAGAATGAGGAGCAGGACTTCCCCATCCTCCCTCCCCCCTGTCCTACCTAATTATGGTAGTGGTGGTGGAACATTTGCCCATCAATGTTTCTTGGTGCAGGGTTCCTGGAGCCGACCAAGTGTGGGGGGGGGATCTCGCGGGCCGCAGGAGAGCGGCCCCGGAGGGGCCCTGAAGGGGCCCCGAAGTTGCACGAATGGTGCGGCTTCCTTCATCCCCCGGTGTATTGCCCCCCCCCCCCCCCACCCACCCACCCCTGGAAGCAGCGCCCGAGGAAGTCCACCCAGCATTTGCCTCCCCTCCTCGTCCGTGCACCCATCTGTCGTTGAAAGTAGGCATTTTTGGAGTCCCAGCTTTCAATCTACTTTAAGTAAGCGCCTTTCTACTTCAATTATCGAGTGGCTTCACCTTTGCCGTCCTCTTTAGGGGGCGGGCAGACACCCAATCTACCTTCAACGCCTTCTTCCTACTTCATGTTTCTACCTACTTCTTCCGACCGATGGCTACATGTGAGAGTGACCCCTCGCCAAAGTGGTCCGTGGTGCGTGGCTTTCGCGTTGGCGTTGGTGGTGGTGGCCAAGCGCATGCACGCAGGCCGTCCACACTGTCTCGTCGCATGTGCAGCGATTAGCAGGCCGCGCGCCAGGTTGCATTCGTGCCTAGGGCCACTTCTTGCGTGTAGCCGACTCGTGCTTCCCAAGTAGGAGAATATGCATCATGTGCATACATGTCTGGAGATCTGCGCAGGTCCATTGGATCTGCGCTGGGCCCCCGCTGGCAGCGCCATCGGCGCCGCACGTGGCGCGCTCCGCGCGCCGTGAACGAAGACATCCGCGCGGACCGTCGAGATTTGATATGCCAGTTTTTCTTAGTCTGCTTTGAAACCTCCTTGGTGCTGCTCAGGAATGCGAGCAGGAGGGAGGTCCGAGTGAGAAACGATATCGATGCCGCTGCCCGTCCCTCGTCGCTGCGGCCGGATTCGGGACCCTGGTCGGGACGCAGCGCGGTAGAGGTCCGGGGAGTACCACGACTTGTCTTTCTTTGTCCCCCCCAGGAGGTGTAGGAGGAGGAGGAGGAGGAGGAGGACGAGGAGGAGGAGGAGGAGGAGGAGGAGGAGGAGGAGGAGGAGGAGGGGGAGCACGATTAATGGGAGTCAAGCTAGCCAGGTCGGGCGAGTTAGCGGGTCCCATCCACAGCCCACCCCCATCCTCCCTCCCATGCCATGAGAACTCATGCTGGCGCAACTTGATACAGGGACAGGTGCGCTTTCCCAATTCGCCAACCAAAGGTGCTCTCTCGCGGTTGAGTATGACCACGTGACACGGTTTGCAGTAACACCTGACAGCTTAACAAACACCAGTCTAGATAATGTCTATACTATGCTCAAGACCTTGGGCCAGAGCCCTCTGGAGATGCGGTCTAAATACTCAGCTCTAGTCGGGTTGGTCGACGCTGGAAGGCTTGACCGAGCATTAAGAGCTGGCTGTGACCATAACGACCCCGATATCTACAATACTAGAGCCTCAAACTACTATGATTGTGAATGTTGTTGATGAAGTGTATGGCCCCATGCAGCTATATGTACTTCGGCTCGGGATAACCGTTCCAGCCATAGTTCATATAGCTGAACGACTCCTCCAGCCATATGTACCATCGCACCATTACAACCGATTGGTTCGAAGTGCTATCTGCCTCCAGGCTGCTATCTTGTCATTGGTGGCCGAGCCTCCACACCGAGTGCATCTGAGCCCCGCGCCATCCGCACACTGCGCTGGACGATGTAGGACAGTCGGCCGACGTCCGCCGAACTCTCTCTCTCTTACCCGCGAGGCACCCGTGCGATCGACCTGCAGCCGACCGCCACCGCGGAGGCGCCCAGAAGCTCCCCCGGGCCACCGTGCCCCCACTCGGCCCCGCTGCCGCCAGAGGGGAGAGAGAGGCGCGGGCCCGCCCACGCCCCGCGGGTGCCGCCTCCGGTGCCGAGCGGGCTCCCAGGAGAGGACGCCCCAGCAGGGTCACTCCATCTGCGGATCGGGCCGTCTCGGCCCCGGCCACGCGGCCCACCCACCGGGGGCCCGGCCTCTGCCAGCGCCACTCCCGCGGACGCTCTGCCAGTGCCGGCGCCCAGGGGCCCACTGGGGGCGCCCTTCCGAGGACCAGCCGGCCCAGGGCGGGGGGCCCGACCACGAGCACTCTCCCAGCGACCGCTCCGGCGCAGAATCCCAGCCCAGCAGAGTCGTGGATCAATCGGCAGCCACTCTGCTGCCCACCAGCCCCGTCGCCGTCCACGTGGCGAGCTGGGAGGTGAGGGGCGACGCTGCCCGAAGGCGAACGCCGCTGCCTTCCCCCCGCCTGCCTTCCACATGCTGGGCCGGGCGGTTCTGCACGCTCACCTCTGTGCCATGGGCGTGGATTGCATGCCTTTCCGTGCTGTTGGCAATGAGGATTTGGTTGCTGAGTGGTCGTTCGTTCTTCCTGGCCAGCGGGGGCACCATGCAGGCCCTGCTGTCGAGAGGCGCCGGCCCAGACCGGGCAGGTCTCGCGAGATCCGCCCAGATACGAGCTCTAGGATTGCGGAGCACCGGCTTGGTTCGGAGGCGGCCAAGAGGGGGTTGATGATTAGGGGGGGCGGATCTCATGGCGGGGGCCATAGATCACCCCAGATGTCATGACGCTTCGTCTTATTTCAATACGTCCCCGCCTCCCCCGGGCCACGCACATGCCGCCGGCCATGATTTGCGCCCCCGCTCTTGGACACCCCCCTATTGAACGCCCCCGAATGATGCTGAGCGACTGCCTCAACTATGCCCTCAGCCCTTTCGTGGACCCAGTCGCGCCACGAATCCATTGAGGCTTCACTTGTGGCCGCAATTGAGACGACGCCATCATTAACGCCTGCGCCCACGCCGGCACCAACGCCAGCACCTACACGGCCAACGTCAGCGACGACGCCAGCACAAACGACGGCGTCTCCACCGGTCATTACCAAAGCCCAGCACCTCCACCAGCACCGACACCAGCACCGACGCCAGCACCAATGCCTGGGCCTCCGCCGGAACCGACGCCAGCTCCGACGTCCGCATCAATGCGTGCGCTTGCGCCAGCATCAACGCCTACGCCCACGCTGGCATCAGCACCGACGCCGGCGCCTACGCCTACGGCGGGTCTCATGAGCACCACGCCGGATAACGACCGCAGCACGACAGGTACCACGAGCAGCACGGCGGAGCACGCAACCAGTACGACGAGTACTCCTAGGCAGCACGCCGAAACTCATGAGCAAGACAACGCTTTCAATGAGCAGCACATCGGATACCACGAGCAAGGCACGACGAGCATCACGCGCAGCACAACGACTACCACGAGCAGCACATCGAGCACAAGGAGCTGCACGGCGGACACCACTGGCAACACGACGGATATCACGTGCAGCGCGCTCACTTCGACATCTCCGAGTCGATCCCTGGATTGGGGTTGTCTTATGGTGTGGTGGAAGGGCCACTCACAGGAGCCTCGTGATTCTGTCCCTCGGCTGCACCTTCTGAGGCCAGCCGCAGATAGTAGTCTGGGCCCTTCCTTCCCCGGCTGCTTTATTTTGTATAGTGTCTGAGGTACGCGTGCATGTGCCGGGCACTCCAACCGGGCGGGCCGCTGTTACTCAGCGAGCCTCCAGCGCCCGCCGGCTGGAGCCGCCTTAGAAGCTGACTATGGTATTATTTTAGTGTCCTCTGCTTTGCCCCTTTCTTCCTCCTCCCTCCTCCCCTCTCCTCTCCTGCCGCTGCCGCCGCAGCCGCTCATCCACATAGTGCTATCGTGAGAGTTTGAAGCTTTCGCTCCGTGTGGAGCTGCACTCGTGGGGGATTTCCGAGTGCTCTTCGGGCTGTAGGTTCGCGTGATCGTTCACGGGGCTCTTTCTCATGTAGTCATATAACTATGCAGTTTTGCCCCGTCTCCCCAGCTGCGCGCAACGGCTCGCCTATTGCAGGTTGGCCTGAGCGTTGCTCCTGGTGTCTCGGCTGGTTCGCCCGCCTCTCCCCCCTCCTTTTCCCCCCTCGCCCTCCGCCGCCCCGCTTCCGCCCCTGCCCACCCGCCCCTTGTGAGTACTTTAACCCCGGGGCCACGCGAGTACTTTAGCCCCCGGGGCCACGTGAGTACTTTAGCCCCCGGCGGCGAAGTGGTCTTGCAATGGCGAAACCATGCAATAGTATGGTCGAACACCACATCTTGGCCGCTGCCTGTCTTGGGGGGCAGGATTTGTCCGCCCCAGCCGCGTGGTGTACAGTTTCGGTGTCTGCCCCCATCTTCTCCCTCAAAAAAAAAACTGGTGGCCGCAATTTCGGGCTCACCGTCCCTGACCTGGTTATGCCGGCCCGGTCTTGCTCCTTCTCGCCGAACACGGTCCAGCACATGCCCATGTTGGTTTCTCTGGATTGCGGCCAGGCGTTCGTGAATGTGTGTCGATCTTAGTGTTCTTGGTCCTCAGGGCAATGGGCTTGCCGATTGCTGTCGTCGAGATCGTTGTCATGATTCATCGCGGTGTGCGTGCCGGTGGGGCCATGAATGGCCACCTCGTTCCGCTGTTCTTCATCGGGTCAGGCATCACTCAGGGGCGAGGTTTGAGCATCAGCCTGTGCGCCTTGAGCACCACCCCGTTTCTGGTCGAGATTGTCGTCTCCACCGAGGCGCCTGGGCACTGGCAAGTGCGAGCACGCGCGGACGATATTGGGGATTTCCTATTCACATTCCGTGCCTTCGTGACGCTCGCTCGGATCACGCGGGTCGCCGCTCTCGTGGTTACGTTGCGCCTCAAAGTCGCCAAGTGTCACGTCGTCCAGGGTGGCCATCCTGCCCTTGCCGCTCTTGCTCTTGCGTTTCTTGCCCTTGCCATTCTTACCCTTCGATGCCACATCGTGGCACTGGCGGAGCTCGGCATCTGAGGACGCTCCAGAGTCATCGCTGGCCAGGTCGTAGTACTCTGCTACCCAGATATCAGAGCGGATAGTTCTTGCCGATACCCTCGTAGCTCTCGTCACTGTTGGCTGGCGCAGGCTCGTGCCGACGTCGCCTTTTTCTGCACCTGAAGTGCTCTGCAAACTGCTTCGAAGGGGAGCAGCAGCGGGCGCAGTGCCCGAGGGCGGCGTCCACTGGGACTTGTTGGTGGCCAGGTTGCAGGAGTAGTGTTAAGACAGGCGTGTCCCTCTACAGGGGGACGGGGAGACGAGAACCGAACCCAAGTCCCAGCCCCCATCCAGTCCTCTTCCTCCTCCTCCTCCTCCTCCTCCTCCTCCTCCTCTTCCTCCTCCTCATCCTGCTCCTCCTCCTCCTCCTCCTCTTCCTCTTCCTCTTCCTCCTCCTCTTCCTCCTCTTCCTGCTCCTCCTCCTCCTCCTCCTCCTCCGCCTTGCACAGCACATCGCCGCAGCCGGCCGGAGTGCGGCCGTCGCCAGGCGGTGGCCGGGCGCCAGGCGGCTCGCGAATGCCTCTGAGGCCCCGGGCCGCGAGGCGGACCCGACCGGCGCGGCGGCCCGGTCGTCGGGCGCCGCGAACGCCCTGGCCCCGGGCCTAGCCCAGTTCAAGCAGTTCGGGGTCGGCAAAGAGGGGGGTGATGACTAGGGGGGGGGTGGATATCATGGCGGGAGCCATGATATTTCCCCAGATTTCATGGCGCCTCTTCGTATTTCATTACGTCCCTGGTCCCCCCGCTGGGCCGCGCACATGCCGCCGGTCATGATTTGCACCCCCCCCTCTTGGACACCCCCCTCGTGGCCGCTCCCGAGCAGTGGCGAAGTGTACCAGCTCGCCTTTAGGCCTACCAAGGAGTGTTCTCAGAACCTTTCGGGGTTCGCACGAGCTGTTATGAAAACGTGACTGGCTGAGACTGTCTTGTTCTAACACATCGGGCTTAGGTTCGAAGAACATTGTTTTTGTTTTGAGAACATTTTGTTCTAAGAAAATTTCGTGGTATGCCTATAGGAATGCCGGGACGGTCGGTCCCTGCTCAACCAGTGCGCTGCCGTGAGTCGGCCACGCGCAGAGCGGGGTATGGGGGAGGGGGGAAGGCTTCTTAGAAACACCCCTGCTTCTTAGAAGGCGCGGGCCCTGTCTGTAGATGTAAGGCCCGCGCCTTCTAAAACGCAGCCTCCTTCTAAGAAGCCTTCCCCCCTCCCCCATCCCCCCCTCCGTGGGGGGGGGAGCGAGGGGGCGGGGGGGGGCGGTCCAAGGGAACGGGCCAGTGCGGCGGCCGGGTCGTCGGGCGCTGCAATCGCCCTTGCCCCCGGCCTGGCCCAGTTCGCTGCTGTTTGAGAGTGGGGAGTCCGAATAATAATATTATTACAATGTTAGCCAGCGTGGGCCCCAAACAGTAGGTTCTTGCTGTCTATGCGGTGCAATCTTCTAGGCCTCCTGGATGGGGTCGGAGTAGATGGGTCGGAGGATCGTGCCGCATCGCCGATGCATCGCCGATGCATCGCCGATGCATCGCCGATGCGGCTCGATGTGGGGCCCACTTCTCTCCACGCCGACGTCGCCGATGCATCGCCGACGTTGCCAGTGCATCGCCGATGCATCGCCGATACATCGGCGGTGCATCACCGATGTATCGGCGATGCTGCGAGATCGTCCGACCCCATCTACTCGGACCCCATCTTGGAGGCCTTTAAATCTATGTGGTGCAATTCTCCCTGCCGAAGTTGAAGTTGCCGACTCCACTTCTCGCTCAATCATCACACCCACCCACCCGCAACTTGTTTTGCAAAACCCATGCGGTGGCGATTGCGATGAGTGCTTGGCGTTGGCTGGTACATCTCTGCGGCCGCGCCAACCCGCGCATGTTTTCGCGCGCGACGGCCAGCTAGTTTGGCGCGACAGACGCGAACGCGGTATCATGGCAACGTCGAGAACGGTAGACACGATGATGATAAGAGCGGTGCTGGTGGCGGCGATGACATGAACGACGGCACGGTCAGTGACTGCGCCGATGCTGACTACGCCGACGACGATGACGGCGTCCTCGCGTCGGCGATGAAGGTATTCGAAAGAGATCGACATGCGCGCGCGGCCGACGCGCGAGAGTGGCCCGCATGGTATTATTTGACACGGATCGTGCCACCCCAGCACGCGCGCAAGGGCGCGCGAATGATTTCGGCATGCGGCGCGAGAGGCCCGTTTCGCAGAATTCAGTGAATTGGTTGAAGCACCGATGGTTCTCCTCAGAAGTCGCAAGAGCGCGAGCGCACGCTTTTTTGAAAACGGATGGTGCGAAATCGTGTGTGTTTTATTTCTTTTCGGGACGCTCGGGTTTCAAGTCGTTACGACCACTGCGGTGTCTGACGGATTTCCGCCTTCGCGCGCGACGACGCGCGCGCATGCCCTTGCCAGATTTTTGGCAAAGGGTTCTCGCGACGGCCCGCGCGCAAGGGCGTCCGAACAATTTCGACATGCGCGCGCGCGAAGCCCGTCTGGTGGCATTTCATGGACATGAGGAAGCACCTGTGGTTTTCCTACGAGTTTGCAAGAGCGCGCAAGCTTTTTTGAAACTCCGTGTTGCGAAACCATGTGTTTGTTATATGTGTGTTGGACATTCGGCTTTAAATTCGTTGTGGCACCAGCGGTTTTTTGAAGGGTTTCGGCATGCGCGCGCGACGACGCGCGCATGTGCACTTCGCCTGTTTTTCTTGCAAAGGGGCTCTTGCACACTGATGCTTCTTGATGAACGGGTGTGCGCGCATAGCTTTTTGCAGAGGACGGTGGGTGGGGACGGATACTGGATGGGCTGGGATGGTATGAGTTTTTATTCAGGATGCCCGATGGGGCAGAATCCTATGTACATTGCAATACGGAAATGGGGGCGGATAGTCCCACGGGGGAGGGGACAGAGTTTTATTTTTAGTTTGAATATACAAGAAAAGAAACTCTGCGCGGTGCCACTTATGTAATGCAATACGTGCGGTGCAACCGGTGTAGTGCGATCTATGTGGTGCAATCAGCGCGGTGCATCCTATGGAATGCAGTCAGTGTACGCGGCGCAACCTACGTCGTGCAATCTACGCGATGCAGCCTACGTGATGCAATCTATGTGGTGCCATCTATGTGGTGCGATCTATGTGGTGCAATTGATTTTTACAAATGGTTTGACACATCCCATGCTCTTGCAAACATTTCACCCACCCACCCGCAACTTGGTTTGCAAAACGTATTAAGACCGACTACGACGACACCGACGACAACGACTACTCCGACGTCCCCGACGACTTCGACGACGACGACAACGACAACGACGACGACGACAACGACGACGACACCGACGACGACGACGACGACGACTCCGACGACGACGACGACAACGACAACGACGACGACGACAACGACGACGACACCGACGACGACGACGACAGCGACAACGATGACGATGCCGACGCCGACGACGACGCCGCCGACGACGACGACGTCGACGACGCCGACGACGACGACGGCGACAACGACGACGCCGACGACGACGAAGACGACGACGCCGACGCCGACGACGACGACGACGACGTCGCCAACGAAGACGACGACGACGACGAGGGAAGAGGGAGGACGACGACGGCGACAACGACGACAACGACGAGGGAGGAGAGAGGACGGCGACGACGCGAACGACGAAGAAGGAGGAAGGACGGCGACGCCGACGACGACAACGACGAGGGAGGAGGGAAGACGACGACGACGACAACGACGACGACGACGACGGCGACGACGACGACGACGGCGAACAAAAAGGAGGGACGACGACGGGATGCCGACGATGGACGACGACGACGAGGGAGGAGGAGGAAGGACGACCACGGCGACAACGACGACGGAAACGACCACGACGCCAAAGAGGACGACGACGACGAACACGAGGAAAGACAGAGGACGACGTAGGCGACGACGACGACGACGCGGGAGGAGGGAGGACGGCGACGATGACGACGACAACGCAACAGCGCGCGCGCACGCTTTTGTTGAAAATCCGTGTTGCGAAACCTTTTGTTTTTGTAGGTTTTTCTTTGACACACGATTGTGAAATCCTTCCGAAGCCGATGGGTTTTGAAGGATTTCGGCATACGCGCGTGACGACGCGCGCGTCTGCACTTCGTCCTGTTTTTTTGCAGAGGATTCTCGCGACGGCACACGCGCAAGGGCTTTCGACAGATTTCGACATGCGCGCGCGAAGCCCGTTTGGTAGCATTTTGTGAAAATCTTGAAAAACCTATGGTTTTCTCAAGATTTCGCAAGAGCTCGCGCGTAAGCTTTTTTAGCAAAGCAGTGTTGCGAAACCCTGTGTTTTTGTATGTTTGTTTTGGAAACTCGATTGCGACATCCTTCCGGCACCGAGGTTTTTTGAGGATTTCGGCATGCGCGCGCGACGTCGCGCGCGTGTGCACTTCGTTTTTTTTGCAAGGGATTCGTGGAAAAGTCTTATGTTAGAACACAAGATGTCCCCGCGTATTGTTTTTTACAAGGGAACCTCGGGGGGGGGGGGTCGATACCGGCCCCCCGGAGATAGTGTAAATTCATGTTTAGGATGGACCTGTTGTCAGAATCATATAGGATTTACATACCCGAAAAGGGGTACGGATAACGCCGGGGGGAGGGGGTAGAGCTTATTCTTTTTTTTAGAAAGGAAGATTAATTTCTGTTCGCAGTGAGTTGTCCAGTCCACTGCTCGCGCAAACATCCCACCCACCCACCCGCAACTTGGTTTGCAAAGTCTCTTAAGACCGTGACGGTGGGTACCAAATGGCACTTCGCAGCGACAGCGACGCCGACGACGACAGCGACAACGACGACGACGACGCCGCCGACAACGACTACGACGACACCGACGACATCGCCAACGAAAACGACGACGAGGACGAGGGAGAACGACGACGGCGACAACGACGACAACGACGACAACGACGAGGGAGGAGGGAGGACGGCGACGACGCGAACGATGAAGAAGGAGGAAGGACGGGGACGCCGACGACACAACGACGAGGGAGGAGGGAAGACGACGACGACGACGACAACGACTACGACGACGACGACGACGGCGACGAAATAGGAGGGACGACGACGAGACGCCGACCACGGACGACGACGACGACGACGAGACAGGAGGAGGAAGGACGACCACGGCGACAACGACAACGGAAACGACCACGACGCCAAAGAGGACGACGACGACGAACACGAGAAAAGGCAGAGGACGACGTATGCGACGACGACGACGACGACGCGGGAGGAGGGAGCACGGCGACGACGACGACCACGACGACGCAAGAGCGCGCGCGCACGCTTTTGTTGAAAATCCGTGTTGCGAAACCTTGTGTTATTGTAGGTTGTTTTGACACACGATGGTGAAATCCTTCCGAAACCGATGGGTTCTGAAGGATTTCGGCATACGCGCGCGACGACGCGTGCGTCTGCTCTTCGTCCTATGTTTTTTGCAGAGGATTCTCGCGACGGCACACGCGCAAGGACTTTCGACAGATTTCGACATGCTCGCGCGAAGCCCGTTTGGTAGCATTTTGTGGAAATATTGA